CGTCCTTTGGGCGATATGTGACGCATTCGTTCCTAAGTCATAGTCTCTAGTGCAATACGAATTACAAACATTCATAAAAAACACTTTTTCTCCGATAAAAGACAAAAACCAACATCAAGCTTCTTTTGCCCTTTGGGGCTCCCTTAACGGGAAATCTTTTCAGAAAAAGAGTGTCGTTAACTCTTAGTTCTACCGCAAACAGGCTTTGTCCCTAACTGCTGGAACTATTTGTTAACCTTACTCGGGTAAAAAACACGTGAACTAGCCTGTGTTCCGTTTTATCCCGAACTAAGTTCGTTCTGATCTCTCATACCTGTTGAGAGTACGTAGGCACAAGACGCGATGTCTTGGCGAGCAACCTTTCCCCCATCCCCCGTAGTTAGCCGAACTACGTTGACTCTGACTTTCCCATTGCACAAGGGAATACGTAGGCCCAGAACTGAGAAGTTCTGTCGAGTCATTTTTCTCTTTTTCTTTTCTTTTGAACCAGCCTTGATAGGTAGATAGATAAACAACCCGTCAGATAAACAAACAAGCGTGGATCCCGTTGAGTACAACGGACGCGAGGGGTGCTAATACCTTCCCCTTGCGTAACCGACTCCCGAACCCGAGATTTGGTTGTGATGACCAATCTTATCCCTTTTCGCTAGGTTTTTTCCTGATCGTTTCCTTTCCCTCCTTTGGGATAAATAACGATAGGTGGCGACTCTTCTGTCTTGGCCGCCACCTTTTTTCGCAGTAGCGACACCAATAATAAAATTCGTGTACACGAAATTGAGATAAGTTAAAGATGACTCATGTGACGATATAAATACTCTAAGAGTACTTTGACATAATTTATTTTGAGTTCTAGAAGAACTAATCAGGTACCTAAAATTTATAAAAAATAAAGAGATCTCGATAAATTATGTCATGAATGGAATATGATGGAACCAAAATAAAGTTGACAATGTCTTTGTATACAATATAACGCTAAAGATGAGAAATGATAGTGAGGATCATGAATCAAAGTTTATCAAAGATTGTAGATAAAGTTAAAATTGAGCAAAATAATTTGATCCACTTGACAAACAATTAAACACACTTTACAAGCGACTCTCTTTTGGACCTATAGTCTAAACATCTTAAGGTGTGAAGCTAGTTGGATGTGCAGGAGATTCTTTATGACCTCGAGAAGAGGATGAAAAATCAGTTGGTCTATAAGCACCTATATGAAAAAATCTCATATGTTCTCTACCCTTATGATGTCAAATCATTGGATGTGCAGAACATAATTTAAGACCTCTAGAAGATGATAAAAACACTCAGTTGGTCTAGAAGTACCATATCTCATTGTAATTCAAGCATTGATCTATCTTGATAATTATACATGTCATGATATATAAATTTTGGTCAATATATTAGCAAGATATAACTCTTTACTTACACGAAGACATTGGAACAAAGTTAAACATATACTTTGTTATTTTAGAAGTACAATGGACATAAGTTTGTTTTATTCAAAAGTATCCAAATTATAACTAACAGGTTATATAGAAACAGGTTACTTGCCATATCCTAATAATGGTAGATCACACATATTATTTGTTTACTTATGGTGGTACAACTATTTCAGAGAGACATGTGAAATAAACCATAACATCAACATCATCTAACCCTGAAGAAATTTTTAGCACAACATGAGGTAAGTCGAGAATGCATTTGATTGAGATACCTAATTCAACACACACAAAAGACGTGTGGTTTGACTTTTGGAAAAATGAATACAACATCCATATATTAAGATAATATGCATGCATCACTCAATTGAATGATGGTTACATTAAAAGAGACCGGACAAAACATATTTCTCCAAAGTTTATTTTCACGCATGATCTTCAGAAAAATGGTGATATAAGCATCCAATGAATTCTTTAATGTGATAACCTTCTAGACCTTTTCTCGAACTCACTCTCAAATAGAAATTTTAACCAACTAGTACAAAAGATTGTTCTTCATCAAGATTAGTATTCATCATCGAAGAAATGATCGTTCAGCTGAGGGGGAGAAATGAATTTATCATAAAAGAATATTGTACTCTCTTTCCTTCACTAGATTTTTTTGACTGGATTTTAAGCTTTTAGCGAGACATATCCTAAACAAACATCCAAAGGGAGTGTTATGAATAATGATTGTTAAATATTACTGTCTCCATATTGCAAAGTATTTTAGGTAGTTTGTTTTATCGTATCCGCAATGTTTATCCTGATAGTGGATGCTTGCCGTTCAATAGTTTATGGGTTTCAAGAAAAGGGTTTTCAAAGATTTTGGTTTGGTATCATATGTTTTCACTTGTTTTGTTAGAAAAGGGTAAATTATAGAAAGATGTTTTTTTTTTAAGAAAAGCATGTCAAAATTAGATTTCGTTAACCCATTTCATACATATCCGATTAATCAAGCATGTGAACTTGGTTTAGATCAATGCAATCATGTATCCTCTTGATTCCGTTTATTTCTAAAGCGGTTTTGTGGGTATTATTGTTCCAATCGCTAGATGATTTCTATAAACAACAATCGAAACAATAAACATAAAGATCGATACAAAGCAAATATTAACTCCCAAATCTATGTCTAAAGTGTGTTTGTTAATAAAGGAAGAACTTAGATCAAGACTTGGAAAATCTATGTTTAAAGTGATTCAAACTATACATATATCATTAAAAGCAAAGATCTTCATCATATATTGATCATCAACTTTATTCACATACAAAAGATTAAAAAAAAACACGTAATTTTGACACAAAAGGTGTTTAGCTAGCCATCACCACGGTAGCTTGATCAACAAGTAAAAAGGAAAGTTTTACTAGCATCAAATTCAAAAGATCGGAGATTTATGCTCAAAAGTTTTGATTTTCACTTCTCTTGAAATTTTTAAGCTTTAAACCCTAAAATTCTCTTTACAATCTAAAAAAGTGCAGAAAAATGAAGTCTTTTCCAAAATATCTCCCAAGTGCATATTTATACATGTTCACAAATGTGCCTATAAATGGCACCACGCTAAGCGCCATCAGAACGTGCTTAGCGCCATCAGCTCAAATGTGGCAAATTTCCAAAAGCGCAATCATGGACCCTTGGCTACTGCCTGTAACTCAGAAGTGCGCTGAAACCTTGCTAAGCGCAAGTTACCGTCAAAATATTGCGAAATTGATCCTCAAAACCCTCTTCCATCATCCACAGGTTCCAAGTATTATATCCAGGAAGAAAACCTATCAAAAAGCATCAAAATAATCACAATTCAAAATATTTACAAGCATAATCGAAAACTTGCGTATTTACACTAACACATATGAGTTTACTACTAAAACACCAAAGAAACAATTGAAAATAACCACAAAATACCATTTAAAAATTAGCATAATTTGGTACTTAACACTCCCATATATGTTACTTATTTGAAATAATTTTTATTGATTATTAACAAGGGAATTTTCTAACGAAAATATTGTACTTTTTTCCTTCCTTAAAATTTTTTTTCACAAGTTTTTTCAGTAAAATTTTAATGAAACATATTTTTATGAATATTCAATAAGGAGTGTTATAAAATAACATAACTCTATAAATGAGTGAATTTCAAATTAATTATTCATTCATTATATATGTAATATAAATAGAACTCATATTTTATTCGAAATATATACGAATAATGATAATAATACACTATATTCTATTCTTCTCTATATCTCTTTTATTATTTTGTTTAATTTCATAACAAAAACAATAAAGTAATAGAAGGATATTTTATTTTAAAAAATAAGTAATAGAAAGGTAATTTATAAAGTAATAGAATTATAAATTATAAATAAGGATATTTTTGAAAAATAAGTATTATATTAACACAAAATTTATTTTAAAAAAGATTTGAATAAAAAAATAATTTTAATAAGAAATATTTTAAATGTTTGTCCTTTTATTATAATTTTTTTAATATAAAAATTTGAAAAATTATTAAAATTTAAAACTACATTGAATAGCTTTACTTATAAAATCATTTTCAAAATATGTTTTTAAAAAGTTGTGTAATGTGACTTATTATATGAAATTCTTTTAATAATAAATGTTTAAGTTATTGAATATTAAAGCTACTATTTTATTTTATAAAAAAACTTAAAATAACATGTAAGTTCATTTAAATTTTCTCTCAATAAATTGAATCTAATATAAAAATTAAAAATTAAATTAACATTTTATTTAATTAATTATTTAATTTAATTTAATATAAAAAATAAAATATAGAGAATTACAATTCCCATATATATATATATATATATATATATATATATATATATATATATATATATATATATATATATATATATATATATATATATATATATATATATATATATATATATATATATATATATATATATATATATAAAATAACGCTTTTTGGAAACTTTTTCCTCTTTCTAATTTAAGGAATCTAACTAAAAAATTAAAAAGTAAATTAAATCTGGTTAAAACATTACATAAAATTTGATTCGGGGGTTGAAAAAGTTCACAAAAAAAGAAAATATAAAAGATCCATTCTTCCATTTTCACTCCAACATAATCCTAGCAATTATTAATAATATTTTTACATTGAATAACTCATTCAAAAGTTATCCTTTTCACTTCAAAGACTTTCATTCTCCTACATGTGCATTTGTGCTTGTGCAGCACATTTTGAAGTTGTTGTCCGTTTTCTAACTTATAACCGATAATTTCAAACACTGCAAGATTGTTATCAAATTGAATTTGTTAATGTATTATTCGGTCCCATATGCTTTCTCATTTGTCTTCATCTATTACTCACATGCCCTTGTCTCTATATAACTATTCCCGCAAAAATCGGCAAATATATAATATACTGAATAATAATTAATGTATATATTAAAATTTCAACAAAAGAATACAGTTTTGTTTATGCAGAAAAAAAACTATCACAGAGATTGAAAGAATGATAAAATATTTCATCACATTCATCTTGTGCTTGATCCTAAGCCAGCCAACTTACCCAAAATCCCTTGTTTATAAGGCAAAAAAGTTTTCTTCTTCAAATCCTCAGTTTCAGCTTTCTTTCTTGCGTAATGCAATTCATGCGCAGAAACAACAGATTCTTTTCTTCTGGACTTTGGCCAACCTTTACGTTCTTCAGATGATTTCTTGTTGTAAGAAACTGGAAATTTCCTGAATGGATCCTTGCTCGTACCTCTCCCTTCTGAAGCACTACGAAACAACAAGAAATCCTTCAATCTCCATATTTTAGAATTTCTCCAAGAATGAGACGAAGAAACAGAGTCAACCGATTCCCCTTTAATAACCTGATTACTTAGTTTTTGTTCTTGTTGATGTCGAAATTGTTGCTGCTCTATCCATGTGTATTGTGGTTTTCTATAGGGAGAATCAGAACGAATGATTCTTCTACCAGATTTCGATGTAGAAAATTCAGAAGACGGTGTTCTGTCTCTACCTCTTCTCTCAGCAGATAGATCTTTCTCATTCTTAGATGAAAAAGCTTCGACGATCGCTTTCTTCCCTTTCGCTATTGGAGATTGTTTGGTAGATTGTTTGTCTCGATTCGGAGATAAAAGAGGAGAATTATCAGATTCCAACGGCTTGATTATTCCATCGTCGAAGAGTTCTCCAGCTGAACGAGGCGATGAATCTTGTTCTCTGTTAACCGGAAACGCGAATCCATCATCTTCATCATCTTCGAATTGGGCGTAAAATCTTGACGGACTAGTAGGGGCACTTAAGTAAAAAGCTTCACCGAATCGCTTTGGTGAAGAAGGTGCAGTATATGAGAATCTATTGAAATCGAAATCATCCTCCTTCTTATGACTAGGGCTCAACACTTCCATTTTGTTGTGATGAATCAGTGTAGCTATGGATAAGTAGGTATATATATATATTTTTGTTGAGTAATATATATAGACACAGATGTTGCAAAAGTATGATAATTGATTGATAAAGGGTTGTGATTTTTTGGTTGACTAGTGGATTTTATTGTATGGTATACTGGTATGGGTCACTGCTAATGTCATGGCCTCAAGGGACAGGATTGTAATTCTAGCCGCCTTTGTATACCGATGCGGTTTTTTGGTTGAAAATCGTTTGCATCAATTATCGTTTTCATATGGTATGAATTAGATCTAACTATGTATGAGAAAAAGAAATCATCTAACACGTGTGAGATTTAATTGATTGATAAAAATGAGTCACGCACGTGCGATGGTCTGAAAAGGACGGTCGGATTGTTTAACTTATTTGGCTGTTTCTATATGAGCTTTTTTTATTTAAAAATATATATAATATTTGCTTATATAATGCTTCTAGATGAGGATCTTCTTTATTAAATAAAATAAATAAATGTATGTATACGTGTGTATTATATTATATACACAGAATTGTGTAGGTGTTAGAATGGTATTTAGGGGAGTTTGCTTTTTATTTTTGACAATATTAAGTCGGTCAATTTGAATCTTCTTTTTTTATTGACCAATTAGAATTTGATATTAAAATATGAAATCTTTGGATGTTTATCCATTAAGGTGATGGATTTTATAAGAGAAAATTACCATTTTTTTCTTCTAAATTATAACATTTATAATTAGAATTTTTTATTCAAATAATTTACTTTTCAAACTTATTTTTAAAATAATATAGATTTTTAAAAAATTCAATGTACCCAATTTTTAAATAAAAAATATGAACAAAAATGTGTTGTTAGCCAATTGACGTTAGCACTTAATTTTTTAATGGACGCGTCAATTAAATTGACGACTGTATATGATGTTCTTAGCCTAATATAATATACAAATTATTAAAAGAGACGCCAATTCATCTGAGACCAATGTGTATTGTGAATTTTTTAACATAATTAGTAAACACTAATATTTAATTTAAAATACTTTTACACACACTAACGTGACGATCATGTTGATCATATTGGCCACCGGTTCCACACCCCCTAACTATCCTAATTCGTTGCACTCGTTGTTTATTCACCCCAGGTGTTTGGAGAATTGAGGTCTCAGGGATATCACCAGAATCCCTAAGAATTTTTTGCATTTCTAAGAAGTCTTGTGTATGGAGCGACACACTATCATAATTGAGTTCGCGACTCATGCCAAAGTAGTTGAGATGTATCCATGAGGTGATTAGCGTGCGTTCTAGACAACTGAAGGGGGCATTGATGTGAACGATTCGTTGGAGAAAGGTTGAAATAGTTGTTGTGGTGTTTGATAGCCATATGGTTGTTGGGATGTTTGGGCGTTTTGGTTATGGTATGAGGAAAGGTTGGTGTTTTGCCTATGGTAGGATGATGTGTTGGGGCATATGCATTTTGGGTGTCATGATAATAGTAATGTTGTTGGCGATGGTATGGGGGACACTCTTGGTATTGTGGTTGGGTGTCTGACATGTTTTGGTTGTGGGTTTGTGTGATTGTGGGTCGATAATTTTGTTGGGCAGGGGGTTGTGAGTAACAAGTCTGATAATTGTGGGGGGTTAGACGTTGAAGCTTCTTGTGTGTAAGTGGTTTGTAGTGGGTTGTATAGATACCTAACTTTGGAGACAAACCCAATTACAATAGATATGTACCAAGCCATATAAGTATTAGTTGGTTTACATGAGGTTGTCATCACAAGGTCATGTAAGACATGCTCGCGATGGTGCCTCCATGTATAACACTCAGATTTAGCAAAGTCATTTGTCAAAGTTCCATTGTTCATTAATTTTTTGTTGGTGCCACTATTCGAGGCACGTCGGGGAATCTGGGGTGTTTTGAAGCCTTCTGAACTGTAATTTTACACGGTCACTATGGTGCATCTCCACAATGTTGAACCTAATTATTGGCATGCATGCAGTTTAAACAGTTGCATCTTCTTCTCTGACTTCATGTTGATGTTCCAAGTTTATATATGGATGCTAAATAAACAGTAGAAGAAAATAGATTATGAAATTCTTGCATGCTGATCCCAGATGTCCTGAGAGATGTCGAGACATTGATCTCTGCTAAAAAACTGAACAAGGATAGAACAGAAACATTTTGTTCTCTTCTAAACAAGAACACTTCAAACCTTCAAGGTAAAAACAGTGTCATGACAGATGTTTCAACATCTGTCAAAAACATATACTTCAGACCAAAAGTACAGGCTGAATAAATCATAACAGAATGAGAAATAACACAAGATATGATGACCCAGTTCGGTGCAAAACACTTACATCTGGGGGCTACCAAGCCAAGAATGAATTCACTATTAGTAGTATTAGTTTAGAGTTAAACTCCCCCATTTACAACTCCTCACTTAATCCCTACCCAGTACAATTCTATCTAGAAATCATCATTTTGATAAGAGAAGCCCATCTCAATCCATTTAATCACCTTAGTGATATCTAACAGTTACAATCTCCAGCAACTGCATCAGACTGTTTGTTTGAAAGATATTCCTTCCAATACAAGATTCAGTCAAGACTCTTAACTAACAATCATGCATGGATTTGCTTAAAAGCTTCATCCAAGAACAATACACAATTCATTACCTACAGGTTTCTAAATCTATATAAACATTTGTGTCTACCAGAGTGTATCAATTGATACAAAGGGTGACTTACAATGCAAGAAAGTACACGACTCTCAAAACCCTAAATCCTTATTTTCTACTTTACAAAAGTCTCAATAATAATTCTTTTTTTCTATCCTAGGTCTAGGTCTTCCTTTTATAACCATAAAGAAGATTTGATTTGGGCTTAAGAAATGCAACAATTATGTTCCTCAGAATCTGCAAAATATTCTCCTCAAGAATAGTTTCTTCAATCCTAAGTGTCCTAAAATGTTTCCGCACTTTAGAAAACGGCTCATCTTCAAATTCCAAGAGAATCTCTGATTCCTTAATCTGAACGCCACCTAGGATACACAAACAATCTTCTGCAATATAAATTTAAATTAACAGATTCAAACCTGATTTAAAAACTGTAACAAACAGAGATGTCGAATAACCATGTTAGGACATCTTGTCCAACATGTTTCTGTCAGGTTTGTTTTACCAAAATTAATGCCAATCAAAAACTAAGGAGCCTTCAATCTCCCCCTTTGGCAGATTTTGGCTAAAACAAACAAAATAACCCTTGCATGCAAACACACAATAGTTAGAGGCAAAAATCAGTCAGCAACGGAAACAACACAAAGCTAGCAGCCTCCTCATCTACTTAGAACTTCTTATGTTGCAGCAAGAGATTAAAAAATTCTCCCCCCCCTTAACAACAACCAGCAACCAATGATTACTTAAGTTAATATTACTCCCCCTTTTTAGGCATAATATGACAATGGTAGATTACTAACTAAGCAACCACACAGAAGCAAATATGTAAAGTACAAGCAAACATATTCTCTGACCAAGGCCCATAGTACTGCACTCAACTCTAAACAAACTCCTTTCATTCATAATTAGTAAACTTGATCATGATATCTTCAATATATCAATAGAAAACTTTCGTTGATTTTGACTTCCAATCTGCAGAGAAAAATAAATACTCCCAGATAAAAATAATGATTCTCAGGACACTCCCAAGAAGCTTGAACAAATCTGATTCAATCCATTGACACCCAATGACAAAACCAAAAAAAATACACTGTCAAGTTCACCATGAGTTAGAACAGTAGCACAATGTCACGACATCTTGTCTGACATTCCACCTTCATAGAGACATACAATCAAAAATGCTTAAAACCCAAACAATCTTGATAAAGAGTTGCACTACTGCAACAACAGATCCTAGACAGAAGTTTAACTCCCCCTGTCATAGATAACCAGTGTTCCTTTGTTAAGAAGAGCACCTTAAAAGTGAACGGAAACACAAGACTCGTCTTCATGTTTTCAAGAGTACCTTCTTTGTTCAACACACCTGCTGAACACAATCACATGCTGTAGAACCAGTCTTGATTCATAAAAACTCAGATATCTTTGATCCTTGAGAATACCTCGAAGTACCCACAACAAATCCACATCTGATAAGCAGTCTTCTTGGATTGAGATCAAAATCGCCATTGATCATTCTCCCCCTGAACACATACATACTCTGTACAAATCCACCCTGAATTTTATAGCCATAGATAACCTTGTTCTTTGAGAATAAATCCAATTGAACCCAGAATGCTCACATTCCCCAAAAGAGATATACACAATCTCTTAGCCAAGATTTCATCCAAACTTGAAAGACATCAAACACATGCTCCAGAAATTCTCAGCTTGCTTGCTTCACAAGTTCCAAACTGATCCACTCCTTTCTAGAGATACTTGCAGCAGACAATACCACCTCTCCACGAGTATTATGACCTTAGCGTGAGTCAAAGAACTGGATATACACACCATAATCAAAGACAGTCTTCACCTCATCATTCTCCCGTATGATAAGATATAACCCTTCTAACTCAAATGGTGAATATCAAAGTCCACACTCAGAGCTTCAAGTCCTTTTCTAAGGATAGCAAGAAACTAGATGTTGTTCTACTATCAGTTAAAACATCCTACACATATCACAGAATCCAATCACTTTGATTCTTGATACAAGACTTACTATTTGCATAGTAATCCAACTGAAGATCCCTAAATAACATAGCCCTACCAGCTTGATCATTAAGAACCCCATACATCCGTAGAGAGAGAAATAAACTCTCATACTTTCAGTATAGAAATCATCCTTAAGCACCTTAAGATAAGATTCCCTCTGACAGATACCAGTATGATTGACAATAAGCTTAAGATATGGATTAAGCAATAAAAACAGACTTCTCTTCGAGGTTTGCTTCTCCTTTGCCCTTCAATCTTCTATCCTCCATTATGCATAGTACACCACAAGC